AATCGATTTATGCAAATGTGTAATATTAGTCCAAATAGGACAAAATTTGGCACATATATCCAAATTGAGCCTACAAACAAGTGTGTCAAATTTCGTAGTAATCGGTTCAAATATTGCTATAACTCCCATGTGTATTCTTCATCCGATTTGTTAAATTCCTCCTCTATATCCGTAATATGAACTCCGTAACAACAATGCTTTGAGAAACATATCATATAAACCGCAGAAATATTTATACCAAACTTTATCGAGATCGGTTCAGATATATCTCGATCGGTTCAGCATATAGCTTCCATATATATCTTTCCCGATTTAAAGTGTATTATGCACCAAATGGTTAATATAAACCCGAATTGAATGGATTTTGGCATACACGAACGAATTTAGCCTGGAAGAAAGTGTATCAAAGGGTATCCCTCAGATCCGTAAAATAATCTCCATAACAATCACTAACTATCAGATACAGTATAGAAATACCCCTGCTATATTTTATACTTATATATATTATTATTGTTCCCATATACAGGATGAGATGAAAAAACTGCAAACAACTTCAAACTGCTGTCATTTAAAAGACTCTCATCCGACAGCTGTTAAAATTATTTCAGTGACAGATCATTATATTGTTTACAAGCGTACCATAGGATTTTGGTGAGAATTTTCCACAAAAAAGTTATTCGTGATGGAATTCAGGCGTAATGGTATGATTTCTTTATATTTGGCTGGAAAACCACAAGTGGCTATCGTTAGAGCACTCCAGTATTTAAATGTGAATAAATCGTTCGTGTCTCGTACCATCGTTCGTTACCTCGTTTCCGTGATACTGGTAGCGTAGCCTGACGCCAAGAAAGTGGACGGAAGAAAACAGCAACATCAGCAGAAATGGTTCGAAAAGTAAAGAAGCTACTTGATCGAAACCCGCGTCATAATGGCCGAAAATGGCTCGTGGGCTGAACATATCGCAATATTCTATTCGGCAAATATTGAAAAATGTGCTTGGGGTAAAGCCATTGAAATTCCAAAAAGTGCAAGAACTTACACCGCAACAAAGAAAGAAAAGAAAATAGTCTCAAAAGAGCTAAAGCGTTGCTTCGCTTGAGCGAAAGTGGTGAACTGTCGAATTTGGTTTTCTCCGACAACATTCGTTGTCCAGCAGTTTGTAAACAAACAAAATGGTCAGCTGAAAAGAAGTCAGCTGAAAATGTGCACCTCCGGTTGGCCACCAGAACTCAAGCGCCGGCTACAGTGTGGGCCGCCATAGCAGCCGATGATCGCTCCGCTCGTATAAATCGACCGTGGCATCAGAATAAATGCCGAATATTATTGCGAAAATATTCTGGAGGGTGTATTAAGCCTTGGGCACTCAAACATTTTGGCCGCAGATCTTGGGCATTCCAACAGGAGTCCGCGCCATCGCACTCAGCACACGCCACCCAAGAATGTTTACAAAATGATGTTCCTCACTTCATTTCCAGCGCACAATGGCCACCAATGCGTTAGACTATTGTGTCTGGAGTATTTTGGAAAGCAAGGTTGACACAAAAAATACCATAGTGTCGATCACCTCAAGCGAGCGCTTCGCCGGGAATGGGCCAAAATACAACATTCGGGTAGCGTGTGATGGATTCATTGGCCATTTGAAGGCAAAAATTCGTGCAAAAGGTGACCAATTCGAACAAATTTAAACTTATTTTTAAATTTGATCCTATTTCCGACATTTTTTGCTTTCATTCATTAAAATTAAAAAAGAAATGTAATAATTAAGGCGTTTGAGTTTGTTGCATTTTTTTTATCTCACCCTGTAATGTCGCTAAAAGCACGAAAATACCATTATATGGGGGCTATACCAAAACGTGGAACTAAATGACCCATTTTCAATACCAAAAGTCCTGCAGACATAATATACACTTGAGTAAAATTTTGTCAACCTACTTCATTTCGTTCGGAAGCTAGAGTGATTTCCGCAGACGGACGGACGGACAACCATGAATCGACATAAAATGTTATCCTGATCAAGAATATATATTCTTTGTGGGGTCCGAAATGTATATGTCGAGGTGTTACAAACGGAATGACAAACTCAATATACCCTCCATACTATGGTGGAGGGTATATAAAAGATTATTTGACTGAGAAATTTCTATCTTTTATACGAATCTCAAAATTGACTATAATCGAGTTGTAACTCCTGGCAGGGTACATTCAATTTATTTTTGTTATAAATATATTTCCGATTTAATGTATTTTGAAACTTAGATGTGGCTTGAGCAATATATACATTTTAATAACGTGATAGTAGGCAAAGTGAGTGACACTTTTTAAAACGCTTCACGTGTTTTTTTCTCATAGTAAAGAGGAAATCTAAATTTGACCTTAAAATTCGGAGTCATTGTCAGTATGTCTGCTTTTTCCACAAAAAAAAAAAAAAAAATCATTAAAAGTATTCTTATATATTTTAACCCTTTTTTAAATACTACCATTTTTATACCCTACAACACTATGTGTTGAGGGTATTATAAGTTTGATTGGGCCAAAAATTATGTAACACCACGAAATATTGATTTCCCACATAGGAAAGTATATATGGATCTTCCTATCTCGCCGAGCTGAGTCGATCTAGCTATGTATGTCCGTCCGTCCGTCTGTCCGTCTGTCCGTCTGTCCATGTTAATTTGTAATCACTCTACAGGTCGCAATTATGGCCCGATCTTCACGAAATTTAAAATGTAGGTGGGGTTAAGGTCAGAATAGAACTTATTTCTTTTGGAGAGGATTGCATAATATTTAGGTGTTGAAATGGACCAAAAACTGAAAAATTTGCTAATTTTGCAGTTGCTCTACAGGTCACAATTATAGACCAATCGACGCGGAATTTCGCATGTAGCTAGAGTTTAGGGCGGGGAAGAAGCCTACCAATTTGGGTGGTCATAATATTTAGCGGGTAAAATAGACCATATCTTTTTTGTTGAAAAAATTCAAAATTTTTCATTAAACCGCGAATATTTTTAATCGCGGCGAAATCACAAAGCCATGACAAGGTTACTCCTGATCTTTACATTGATGTTAACATCCAACAAAACGGATATATAGCAAAATATGTGCGATATATATGTCTACCAAAGAAGATATGCTTGAAAGATGTCTTATATGTCGAGAACGGCTGAACTGATTTCGACAGTTCTCATTAATTCAGAATGGCCTCTTGGCAGGAAAGAAAAAACGTCTAAAAAAATCGCATAAAAACATCTCTCTAAAGATGAAAATATTGATTTTTTAAAATTTTCTCATATTTTTTCAATTTTGTCATATTTTTGGCATATTTTAATTTTAAAGTAAACATTTGGTAATATTTCTACAGCTAACAAAACTAAGTAGTTAGGATATCAGGATATCATATACAGATCGCATTTATGGCCCGATCCTAACGAAATTTTGCATGGGGATCAGATGAGGGTCAGAATAGAAGCTTACTCTTGTTGGAGATGATCGCCATATATTTAGGGGTTGAAATGGACCAAAAAAACTGCAAAATTGTTAGCATGTCGTAATTATTGCCCGATCTTCACGCACATTTGAATGGGGGTTACGGGCATTGCAAAAGCCAAGCAGTTTTGGATGGCCACCCAAAAATATTCAATGTGTGAAATAGTTTGCCAACTTTAGGAAGACCATTTATGTGCAACATCTTCCAATAAATTGTAAATGAGCAAATTAGTTTAAGTTGCTATTATTCAAAAATTAGAGAACGAAACCTGATGGTTTTCTTTTATTATTTGTCACAATATCTTGTGGAATTCTTTCGAGTATCTCGCCTATATAAACTGTATCGTTTATTATAGTGTTGTAGGGTATTCAACGGTCGGCCCCGCTCGACTGTAGCCTTTGCTTACTTGTTTTAAATAAACATTTCTAAGGATTGTCTTTGGTCTCTTAGGCATAAGAATTCTCTCAATTCAATACATTTTAAATTAAAACTATTTTTCATGCACCACTCCTCATTCCTACCCATATAAGATTCATATTATTCGAAAAAAAGTCGATCAGAAAAAATATCATCATTCATAAAGCTTACAACACTTAGGAATGTTCTTCATGTTGTATGTGTGGCAGCTCTTTTTAATATGGAAAACAAATTCAAATTTATTTCAAAACTACAGTTTTTTTTTTAACAAATACCAAAATCAAATAATTCAATAAATCTATAACAACCTACATAGTAGTTGTTATTTAATTATTGCAAAATTCCAATTTCTGGGTGGGACGGTGGAGGAAGGGGAGTAGGCTACATACCACCACCACTATTTGAAAATGCTATTTAACATCATCGTTTTTTTTTTTTTTGTTTTGAAAAGATTGCATTCAAATATTGCAAGTAAAAGTTTTCAATTTGATTGAATGTTGTAGGTATTTGTATTTCATATGTTTGGGCATTCATGCAAATATAGCAAAGTATACACACATACATATGTACACACACGCACACCCCAACGAATACATGTAGATATGTATGTATGGTATGGTGCAACAACACATCTATGCATAGAGTATAAAACAAATAGAATTTTGATTGAAATATTCGTATTTTTTACGGATTTCTATATTTCACTGGGTGGAAAGCAGAAAATAAAAAACGACTCACAGAATAACATGCACACAAACAAACTCAGAAATAGGTTTGTATGTGTACTTGTATGTATATTAGAAATTTTACAAATCTTGTTTTGGACAAATCGCTAAACACACACACATATATATTCCCACCCGCCCAAAAAATATTTTAATTGATTTTTGCAGGCACAGAGAAATTTGTACAAGGACTTAAAAAATGCACAACGCAATAGAAAAAAAAAACTCAATTTCAATGGCAGTCAGGTGAAAATTGGAAAAAGGGATTATAAATATTTTTTTCCAAAGAATAAAATTTACTCTTTCTTTGATATATAGGAATATATTTTGTTGTTGCTGATATTTTTTTTTATTGTTTTTGTTTCTTTACTTACCCGACATATCTTCACTGTGTTCATCATCGTGCATTTCCTCGTCTCGGTCGTAGTTGCTGCTGCCACTACAACTCCATTGACGTTGATTTGCATAGTGTTGTTGTTGCATTTTTCCCGTAAATTTTGTTGGATCCAAAATATTTTCTACGGAAAATGCTAAACGTTTTGTTGTCTCTTTTTCGCTGGTGGTGGTTGTTGTTGTCGTCGCCGCTGCTGATGTTGGTCCTGAGGAGGTCGATGTCGGTGAGTTGGTTGTTGAGGTAACATGTCCATTCGGCACCGAACGGGTTAAATCAACCGGACAGACCTGCAGGGAAAAAAGAAGGGGAATGTGATTTTGTATTGAGACTTAAAAATATAAAGTATTAAAAAAATTAATTAAAAAATAAGTATTTGCTGTAAAACTCCCAACTACTAAAAAGTATATTTATATTAGCTAGACCGGTCCTCGTTGCCGGCCCCTACTTTTAGTCTTTAATGCATATTTTTTGAAGCACAATAAATCACAGATCTGACTATAAGTCACAATTTTTATTATGAGTAATGACTCCATAGTAATTTCTAAATATAAACTGTTATAATATATTTTCACCCACCATCGTTTTTAGATATTTCGAATAGCCTGATATAATTTTTCAGCCATAGGCATTGCTAAAAATCTATATGATGAAGAACATCTATAATAGCCCCATTTGAAAACTTAGTTCAATTTTTGGTATTGTAAAGAGCTTAGCAACACTTTCCATTCAAATGAGCTGTAATTTGGAGTTTGCATTTCCAATGCTTAGAATACCGTGCTGCGTGATATTTTTGGCCACCTCATAATTCAGGGCGGAATTATTTCTGCTTTTTTTTTTTTTGTTTTGAAAATTAGTCTTTTAAACCCATTACCATAAAATGGGAGTTATTTTTTACTCATTTAAATTGTGCGTTGGAGATCCCATAAAGTCCATATTTTTTTCATCACAGTATAATTCAATGACGATTAAACAAATGTTCGGTCCCGTGCTACTTTCTAATATTCGTAATTTTTTCATGTTTTTGCCACAATTTACGACTGAATGAATCCTAGTTTGACATTTCGGAGCTTATTTCATATAGACGTACATCCCAAATCTTCGTTACCAACCATTATTCTCTTGAGGGTTGCAAATTCATTAGAATACAAAATTGTTCTTTCTAACCATACATTGGCTAGGAAAGTGAACTTGGGGGTACACATAATGTGGGGACTATACTTAAAGAAATGCCTATGTGGACAATTACACGTAAGATGTTTCTCTACACCACAATATCCTTAATACAATTTTTAAGCCATCAATTGATATGAATGTGGTGAAGACCAAGATGGGCTCTACTCCGAAAAAAATTTTTTTGGGTTCTGATCTGCGTCGTTAAAATCAGATCAGCGGTTCTTGAGTTATAAGCCTAGTAACCGACACAACTTTCTTTAGACCCAAAATAGAAGGAGTGGACCGATATATTCCATCTTAACACCAGATCTTGGGTTGATAAAAATATTGGGATGTGTGAAATTTGAGGACAATCGCACTCTTACATCATATTTTATAAGGGTTATAATTATTCAAAATGTTTACCCTTTGTGGGGGAGACACTTGGAGTGGACCGATATTATCCATTTTTGCACCTGACTTAGAACTGCAGCAGGTATTAGGATTTGCAAAGTTGGAGTAAAATCGGATTATATCTACTCTTTCTGTGCAGAAAATATTTTTTGTTTGTTTTTTTTTTCTAATTTCGGCCTTTTGTGGCGGAGGTACCAGAAGGAGCGGACCAGTATATTCCATCTTACCACCAGACGTTGTGTTGATAAAAATATAGGGATGTGTGAAATTTGAAGACAATCGCACTCTTACATCAAATTTATATGAGTATTTTGACCGTTTGTGGTGGAGGTACTTGATGAAGTGGACCGAAATTGTTTATTTACGCACCAGACCTTGCATTGATGCAAATATTAGGATATGCAAAGTTGGAGCAAAATCAGATTATCCTTTCTCTTTCTGTGCAGTAAATTATTTTCTTTGAACATATTGACATTTTGTGGGGGAGGTACCAAAAGGAATGATCTGATATTGCCCATCTCCGAACTCGATCTAAGTTTGACAATAATATTACGATGTACCAAGTTTGGATCAAATCGGATACTCCCTTCGAGAGTTATCGTGCGCACCAGCCAGCCAGACGGACGGACGAACATCGCTAGATTGACTACAAATGTCCTGAAACCGATTTAGTCCAAAGCGACCTAGGGTCTAAAATCGTTTTTTCGATGAGGCACGTTTTGACCGCACCAAATGATATATACCGTCTGTAGCCATATGGCTGAGGGTATAAAAATGTTGGGCTTCCGTAGGGTAGGTACAGGAAATAATTGTCATTTAGATCCTGACCTAAATATTCATCTAAATATTATGATGCACTAAATTTGAACTTCATCATGCACTCCCTTTGAGAGTTTGATCCTTTTATTGAAATTTTTTACTTTTCTTGGGAAGTAACTCAAATGGGTTGACCCATATATTCGATTTTCACACTTGTTCTATTTCTTCACATATATATTCGATTTTCACACTTGTTCTAATATGGACCATAATATTGGGATATGTAACATTTGAAAAAAAATGGGACAATGGTTCTCCACTTTTGTTCACATATTTTGACCCTTTGTGAGAAAGGAGCAGTAGGTTGACACTGCCCATATTGACACATGACCTAAGACTTTTTTGAATCTATTTTCACCAAATTTGACTCGATTTTCGATTTGGACCAATACTACACATATAATAAAATTTAAATCTGACTAAGGAATATATGAAAGCTATATCTAAATTTGGACCAATTTTCACAAATTTCGAAATTCATCATAATCGAATAATAAATGTGACTTATACATTATTTAGAAAAATATATGGACACACAGGCGAACGGACAGGCATAGATCGACTCAGAATTTGATTGTATGGAGTTCATCAAAAGGTATTATGTGTATAATTCGTTTCCTTCTTCATGTTAAAAACAAATACACAAAGACATAATATCCTGTACCACTATGTGGTGTAGGGTTTGGCAAAATTTTTGTTAAAATGTGACATCAAAAGTCAGGCATTAATTCAAGATCCAAAAATGAATAAACATGTAAAAAAGCAGCTAAGTTCGGCCGGGCTGAACTTTTTATACCCTCTACCATTTGGAAGGAACTTGAAAAAAAAAAAAAAAAATCCGTCGAAAAATACGGCACAAATGAACCTTTATATGGGGGCTATACGAAGACGTTGTGATAGGCTGTAGTAACGAATCCGAACTTCAAATACGAAATTTGACACAATTCTGGTAAACATTATCGCTAATATCATCACAATACCGAATAAAGGGAGGTACCGTTGTATGGAGTCTATACTTAGACGTAGACCTGCATAGGTAATTTTCTGCATAGGTTATTATACCCATTACGAACTTCAAATACGAAATTTGACACGATTCCGGTAAATAATGTCGCGAAAATTCTGAAATTACCGAATATCTCGGGATAGCGTTATATGGGTGCTATACTAAAATTATAGACAATTCACCATTTAATATTCTCTACATATACTCCTATATAGACAATTCTCTTTCAGGGGGTAAAGTACTCAGAGTGAACTCCTTATGTAGAATTTCAGACTATTCCATTGAAAAATGTGGTTAAAATCAACAAAATACCAAATATGGGACGTACCGTTATATGGGGGCTTTACGATATCGTGGACCGATATAGTCCATCTTCTTAATTTCCCACCTTAAAAATATTTTGATTTATTAAATTTCATCGAAAATCATTAAAGTATTCATTTAAAGTTATCAACAATTTAGTTTCAGTACATAAATGTTTCGAATATCAAATAAAAGTAGAAACTGGACCGTCATTAAAATATGTGTAGTCTGTATAATCCTGCGGAAATGCAAGATTTCGAAAAACAAAAATGCACCAAAAATTTTTCCCTACTGAAGTTCAATTTTTCGAACTTTTAGTATAGTGAACAACTTCTATTTTATTATATTAATTATTCCATGTTACTTGCTTGAGTACCCGGAAAAAATCTGAATATTTTCAATATTCATTGCTAACCAAATTTAAAAAAAATGAAATTTCCCTTAATTACAACATTCGGGGCAATATCGGTTCCAATAATAAATGAAAATAAAATGCCTCAACTTACCGACGGTGTCCCTTGTGATCCCTCATCATTGCTCTCCTCATCGTTGCCATCGACATTCAGTTCTTCGCTGGTATCACTGCGAGCATAATTGGCGGCGGCAATTTGTCTTGAAGTGGCTGCCGCTGCTGCTGCAGCCGCCGCCAAGCCACCCAATTGTATTCTAAACCCATAATCACTTAAATCAGGACGATTGGATACAACATTTGGGCCACCTGCCACGGCGGAACGGGCAGCCACTGCTGCCTGGGCTTGGGCAACCAATTTCAATTTTTCCAAATCCATGTCATGATGATGATGTTGCTGGTGAGGATGAGAATGTGGATGTGACTGCTGATGATGAAGATGTGAACTGGACGAACTTGATGAGATTGTGGTCGATGACGATGAGGGACTTAAAGATAAATGGACTGATGTTACGGCTGGAACACTGGGCTGTTGTGACGAGGGTTGTAAGGAAATTGTTGACAGTTGGGGATTGTTGTTGTGGGGGGTCAAAGGAACAATGCTGGCGGAGGAAGATGTTGCCGTTGATATGGGTAAAGGCATTTGTAGTCCATTTGTTTGTTGCGGTTCGGAATGTGGCGGCGAGTTGGGTGGCGACAATGGCGAATGGGCCGGTGAGGGGGCATGTGTGTGACCGGGCAAACTCAGCGTGGAAGTGGCCGTTGGAGGTAATGGTGGACCACGCAAATGAAATGCTGTGGCTGCCACAGCTGCAGCCGTCGGTAAATGTGGATGAAACACTGGGTGACCCGGGTGATGATGGGGATGCCCATGACCATGCTGGGCATGATGGGCTGCAGCTGCCAAAAATTGTGGATTTTGCAAGAGATGAGGATGTTGCTGCAACAGAGCTGCATGGGGATGTTGCAGTGGCTCCGGCCGGGCTAATTGTCGCACGGAATTTAGATCCAACATTTTCCTGGGTGGTGTGGCATTGATAAATTGCAATTGTTGATGTGGTGGTGGCGGTAAAGGTTGTTGTGGATGTTGTTGTTGTCCACTCGGAGGTGTCTGGGAACGTCTATTGTTCTCCTGGCCATTTTCAGTTTCGGAATCCTCATTTTTGGGCGATGCAGAACGCCGAAGCTGTTGTTCGGTCATTTGTTTTAACCTTTCCATGGAGTAACGTAAACATTCTTCGTTGTTCTTCATGTTGTTGGTGTTATTGTTATTCGCATTGTTGTTGTTATTATTATTGTTGTTGTTGTTGTTCACAGCCTGTTGATTATTTTGTGGGGTAATAATAAATTTGGGTATTTTTCCCGTTGGCGATGGTAATCCCGATGATGGTGTACTAGGTGTTGACATGCTGTTGTTGTCGTTGTTTGTAGCGGCGGCTGTGGACTTAGTGGTCACCTCTGGCGACGAATTCGATTTGGGTGAGTCGGGTTGGGAGTTGGGACTCATTTGTGAGCCGTTTATGGCGGTCTGCGCTGCAGTATCCGAGGGTTTTGTTGGTGATTGTAACATCACCATTTTGGTGGGTGATTTTTTGGTAAAGTTTTCTTCTTTGAAATTTCCGAATTCGAAGTTAATTTTAAAATTTTTCACAGTTTTTTTAATTTTTCAAAATTTTAATTTTTTTTTCGACAGTTTTTATATTTTGACTTTTTTTATAATTTCCAATTTTTTCACAGTTTTGAATATAATTTTCTTTAAAATTTTAAATTTTAATTTTTTTTATTCACAGTTTTATTATTTTTTTTTCTGGAATTTTCGTCCTTTGATATTTTGTCGAATTTTTTGCCAAATTATTTTCATTCACTTCATGTTAATAAATTTTATTTGATTTGTTTTCAATATTTCACGTTTGACTATTTTCAAAAATATCTTTGACACGCGTCTCTGATTTTTTTTTGGTTTACTTTGTGTTTTTGCCGTTCCGATTGTTGTGTTCACTTCAAAGTCAACCAATCGACTGTTTACACCATAAACATCCGTTTGCGGATAACTGCTGCGGTGATAATCCTGTTTAAAACTAATCTACAACTAAGGGTTGTTGTCGAGATGCTGCTGCCCCTTTTTGTTCTTTTCGATAACTACTCAGATTTCAAGTGATGAGAGTGAAAAAATCCAATTTGAAAGTCAACACTCTCTTGTGACACGCGACCAAGCACTGTGAGGTTGTCCAGCACAAGTGCAACAGACAAGTTGTAGTCTGGGCCATGCTCATCACAGCATCCCTGTTTGAGTGGTTTTCACTCTCTCGCCACCTATCCACATTGGGGGATGAATTGTTCTCTCTCCCTCTCTTTGTATTTTTAAACACACTCATTACTTCCACATTTCCCGCCCCTAATTTTTACTCACTTCTTTGGGTATTTCTCTCCTTTTCTTTTTCCCACAACAAAATGGGTAGTGTGGCTCCTCCCTTATGTGGCCAACAAACTGAGTGTTTTGTTCACTTTGGTATCTCCTCTCTTGCTGTGTGTATGTGTTCACACGTGTGTGTGTCACAAAACACAAAAAAGTAACCCAAACGATTTAATCTTCCAGCTCCATTAGCTTTTTCAGCTGCTTGTTTTTGTTTGTGGTTAGAAACGCTTTTTTCGGCTTGTAATAAAATCCTTAGCACTCCATTTCCTTTTAAACGTTCTCGTTAGCCAGCAGCCAACTCTGGCTTGGGCGACCACTCCCACTCCCCTCCCCCTCTCTCCCTCCTTCCCCCAGCTTTATCACTCACTCTATTGCCTTATTCCGAGTTTATTTTTCTCTGCATGAAAAAAAAATGAAACGAACAGAAAGCAAACAATGCAAAAGACAAAATCCCTCCAACGTTACTTACACTTTATCTTAAAAGGATCTATAACACAATCTAAATGATTTAATATCCAGCACCCCGCCTACCCGGTGGATTCTAGGAACGGCATTCAGCAAAAAAAAAATCGTTATGTTGGCTCCTACAACCAACTCCTACACAACTCAATACCAATCACCCCACGGTATTATCATCACCAAATTTTTTTTTTTTTGCCTTGCTTTTGTTATTATATTCTTGTTATCCTGATGCTCCTACACGCCGCCCAGCCTCCCCAGAGAGAATGTGAGTAATTGTCAAATTATTTAGCGCAAAATTTGTTTGTTTATACGCTTGGTTGCAACGAAAATGAAAATTGCTTCATTTCATTCTTTGCTCAAACGACTGTCTCAACAATGTGGCTGTTCAGTCAACATCTCCTCCTCTCCCCCTTTCCCCTTCTATCGCCCATTTTGCAAAGGAATATCCAAATGAGAGCTGGTTTTGTGCGTGGAAATCTCTGTTGGTCATGTCCTTAATGGTTCGTTTGTTATTAGTCATATATGCATCAATGCATTCCTGACTGCAGTAGCGACTATTTCCTCTCATCTCCCAAATCTTGTTGTTTTCTAATTTTCTTTTAATGAATGATGTAGTGCGTGTGTGTGTGGGTATATAACATGTCGCATACTATGTTAATTAATTATTATGCAATTTATTTTTGTTTGTGTTTTTTTTTTTTTTTTACTTTTTCTCGTTTCTGTTGGCCTGTTGATCCAACCTCCGCTGCCTGCACAGCTAGCAGGACCATTTGCATTTGTTTGCTAATTAGATGCCATTAAAATGTTCTGCTTTCATGGAGCTCAACTAGCTGTGGCCGCGTGCATTCATTCTGTGAATTATGTTGATGAACGATGGCTCGTCAATAGGCGAGTGTTTTATGTGTTCTAGGAATTTAGAATTATTTTTAGACAAAGCAGTTATGAATTTTTATACAATTCTTTCTTTTTTTTACTGATGGGAACCTAGTACTAAGAGCCAAGAATAGTTCCAGAAATAACTTTAGAAAATCAAACGGCCCGGTCGAACTTTTAAACTTTTAATACCCTCCACCATTTCGAAGGAAATTGAAAATTTTCAAAGAAAAAAAAACCGAAAATTTCAATGAAAACGGTTATATGGGGACTATACGAAGACGTGTACCTGCATACGAAGTTTTTTGTCATAGGCTGTAGTGCCCATTACGAACTTCAAATACGAAATTTGTTACAGTTACGGTGAAAAATGTTGCAAAAATTATGAAAATACGGAGTATCGGGAGGTACCGTCATATAGAGGCTGTAGGAAGACGTTCGCCTGCATACGAATTTTTGCCATGAGTTGTAGTACTCATTAAGATCTTTTAATACGGAATTTGAAACGATTCTGGTGAATAATGTTGTTGAAATCGTCCAAATACCGACTATCGTGAGGTACCGTTATATAGGGGCTATGTGAAGACGTTGACCTGCCCATAACGAACTTCAAATACGAAATTCGAAAAAATTCCGGTTAATAATGACGCTAAAATCATGGAAATTCCAAAGATCAGGAGGTACCTTTATATGGGGGCTATACGAAAACGAGGGCCGATATGGTAAACTGTGCGTGTATGCAAAATTGTATCCTTCTATCTCAATTCGTTCGAAAGATAGCGTGATTACAACAGACAGACAGACAGATGGACATCGCTAGATCATAGAATTTTACGCTGATCCACAATATATGTACTTTGTAGGGTCTATTATGAATATTTCAAGGAGCTACAAACGGAATGACAATGTTAATAAAGCCTAAAGAATGGTGGGGGGTATAAACATGAAGTGGCTTTTATTTTTTATGAAAGTCTCAAGCAGTCAACTAAGTCTGTGAAAAGTGTGTTTTTTATACCATCGGAACCACGGCCTTTTGAAAGCGGCTCCATTTAAAATAAAATCTATGATTTTTTGAAATAACTTATTTAAAATGCACAACTTTTTACAAGGGGTCTTCTATCTTCTAACAGAGCTAAATCTATATATAATCGGAACTTGATCGTTCGTACATAGCTTACATCAAATCAGAGGAAAATATATGTGAGCTTATATAAAATATTTGTAGGCTGTATCTGATATTTCCATCGAATATCATTGCTATGAAGTGCATATTACAACTTTGAAAGACTTTTACATCAAATCGGATAAAACATATGTACAATAGCCACTAATTTCAATGGGGCTCTTCTTTAAGAAAAAATGCACTTGCTCTGATATTTGTAAAAAAGCTGGATGGATGCATTATCTCCGAAGAAAACCGAAGAAAGTGCGAAGATTGAAGAAAATTAGAAAGAAATTTCAACCTTTAACGTGATCGAAATCTTTCGGTTTGCTTAGTTTGTACCATGTCCGGCACTCAATACGTTTTAAATTAAATATATGCACTTTTCAGAAAATATTGAGCTTCTATGCTAGGAGCATCAGAAGGAATATAGGGATTTGCAAATCGAGACAAATTTAAAATTTATTGTTACTTTTTTAATCTGCACTTTAAAGAGGGAGATACTTGAGGAATTGCGCATATTTTTGATAGTCCTGTAAACATTAAAAAATGAACACCAGTGAGACCCTTTTAAAAAACATTCTCAAAAAATGTATGACTTTTTACCATCAAATCCTTGGAAAACATCAAAGATTTTTGGCTACGCGAAAAAAATAATTTTGTCCTTAAAAAATTGTTTTGTCATGGTTCCAATACTAGAAAGTCATTGCAAAACATTTTTAATGTTTTTACCAAGAATTCCTTTAAACGATATTTGAAATAATCCACGATTTAAGTAGTCAAGAATTCGTTGCAAAAATATTTTGAAGTGTGCATGATTTTTTTCTATCGGAAAATCTTTTGTAAAGAAAGTCCTTAAATATATGTTTAAAAACCCAATAAATTTAACAAAATCCCTTGGAAAATTCCATGATTTTGTGTCAAAAAAGTCCCTTATGTCCAGGATTTATGCAGCCGAAAATCCTTCAAAATATATTTTAGGAACCCACGATATCCAGGAACTACTTAAAAGTAGTTATGAAATATATTCACGTAGACGGGAAATTCTTGGAAAAAAAATCATCAAACCCATTGAAAATACTGCTACATAGCAAAGAAAAAATTGTTTAAAAGTGAATGTTTTTTTATCAGAAAGTTCTTAAAAAATCAACAATTTTTGTCGAAATAAAAAATGCTTAATTTTTAACAAAATGTGCTTAGAACAGTTTTGGCATGTTTGTTCGGGATACCGTAGTATTTTGTTGTTGCTAAAGAGTTAGGCTTAATTTCATTATTGGTGTTTTTTTTTAAACAACGTTTTTTTATCAGTGGAGAAAGTAGGTAATGTTTACCATGGGGTAAGCCAGGGAATATCTAGGTTTCGGAAAGAGCCATCAATCCTCATCAGTTCCCTTGCTTTTTGTCCGGGATATTTCCCAGGAGTTATTTATACGCCAAAATTAAAAAATCAGCAGTTTTTACAGCCGGTAATCCTATCTTACCAGGATGTGCTGAGAAAATCCAGGATTTTTGATATGAAAGTCTTTAAAAATATTTAAAAAAAAACTCGATAAAACTTAAAAAGTATTAAAATTTTCTATTTCAGTACCCAGTACAATTTCAGTACCTTTGAAAAATATCACAAAAAATATCAAAAACTCACCATCTATACAGCAAGTAATTTAGTTAAAAACATTTTAAAAGAATTAATGGTTTTTATTGAGAATGTCATCGAATTT